GATTTGAATTAATAAATGACTATTATAATTTATTAAAAATATATTAGATATTTTTAAATATTAATCCAATATCATTTTCTAAAAATTTTAAAAAAATGAAAAAATGTAATTTAATGTAAAAATGATAATTTGATAATAAATTATTATAAAAAATAAATAAATTGAATAAACGAGGGGGTGTAAATTTAGTTTGGGTAGCAAAAACCAGGGGTGTGAAAATTAGGGCCCTAAATCCAGATAATGGATTTGGGCCCAGTTGCGCGAGGGGTGCACGCTTAAACGTGGTAGTAAAATTAAGGGGTGTAAGGATTAAGGACTGAAGCCCAACACTTGGTCTTGGGTCCATAAGGCAGGGGGTGTATTTTGGTTTCCTTTAGCACAATATAAAAAACAGAGGGTGGAGATAATTGGGCTCGGCCCAAAATAATTTATGGGGGGGGGGGGGGGGGGGTCTGTTTGGCCTTCGTGTGGGATCGCGTACGCGCTTATGGTGCATGTGCAGGGCTGTATTTGTTTGATCAAGATCAGAGGGTGGAGAGTGTGAGGGTGTACATAAGAGTGCACAGGATCACGTGGCCAGATGTTGGCCACGTGTCCCTGATATAGATTACAAGCACAAAAAGTATATCTTATTATTTCTTTCACTTTCTTTTCATTTTCTCTCAACCTTTTTCTCTCTTCTTCTTGTTCTCTCACTTCTCTTTATCTTACAACAACCACAAACAAACCCTAAAGCCCCGAACCCCCCCCCCCCCCCCCCCCCCCCCCCCCCCTCAGGCGGCGGAAACTTGAAGCGGCGGAAACCCTAACCCTAAACCCAAATCGCAACAAGAAACACAAATAACAAACTCTTAAGCTGAGTGTTCGAACAATAAATTCAATGTCGTGATTCTCATTTTACTCTTCTTCTATTTTCTATGATTCGTCTAATCTCTCTCTTTCTTCTTTGTTTTATCACAAGTTCAGAGAATGATGGAGGAGACGTGCGCCTGAGGAACATAGATCTTAGGGTTCTGTTTAGAAACCCTAAATCTGGGCGAAGGAAGTACTTCGAGGACGATGAAGGCCTGGAACAATATTCATCTTCTTCTCCTTCTTTTCTTTGCTTAATTTTCTCTGTCCCCATATTCTTAGAATTAGGGTTCTTTATATAGTTTTTAGAATTAGATTGATTTAGGAAATTTTGTTGATTTAGTCGTTATAAACTTAGGTTAATTTAGAAATTAGAAAAGATTAGGGTAGATTTAAGCTAGAAAAGATTGTAATTGATTCTGTAATGGATTTGTTTGTAATTTGATTGAAATAAGATTTGATTTGATTTCATTTACAGACTGTTTGTAAAAATTGGACAATTTTGTGTCTGTATTCATGAATAAAATGCCTTTGATTTGATTTTGTTAGTTTGTTTGAGATTTGATACAAATTTGATTGATATGTACAACATTTGTTCTTGGGCTTGGGTTGTTTCAGCGAAGAAGAATAGCGTCGCTGCTGATAGGGTTTCTACCCTTTCAGTTGACTTAGTCAATGTTACTTAACATAATAATATAAGATTAATAATAATTTAATAATTAATAAAGATACAATTAGTTAATTAGGTTTAATTAAAAAATAATAATAGTAACATAAAATAAAAATGCAAATTAATTTGAATAAATATTGTCTTCAGGCAACAAAGTGGGCTTCCAAAAAAATGAAATATGGGCCTATAAAAATAATTAAAAAAATGCACAAATAATTTCTTTGAGAAGCCCAAGTGATCATACCAAAAAACAATCACATCCCTTTCCCCTACTAAAAATACGTTAATCCTTAATGGGCCATCAGATTTTGATGGCCCAAAACACCACATCTCTATATTGTATAATGCACCTCTGCTCACTTAAAATGGGCCAACGAACCAAGACATATTTTAACAAACCCCCTTCTATTTATAAACGGGCCTAAAAAACGTAATGGGTCAGCCTGACTTATATGGAAAAAGAAAAACAACCTTAATGGGCCATCAGATTTTGATGGCCCTTTTGAAAATACACCCCCTCTTATGAATTTAAACCCCCATTAAAATAAGACCCAAAATAAGAAAATTGAATCAATAATTTTAGAAACGTAGTAATAATATTGAAATGTCAGTAAAAATGATCATTGAATTTGAAGGGGCAAATTTGGGATATGACACACGACTACGAGGTGTGACAAATATCTTTCCTAAGAGACTCGATAACAAGTTTTTCCCGAGGGCTCGATGAAAGTCTCACCCAAGCAGGTTAGACGCCTTGCCTAAGGAACTTATAATCTCATCAATCAAACTACATACCATCTCGGCTAGAAGACTCATATTCTCCCGACCAAATTAAATAATCACCTGGGGGACTAATGGTCTCATCAATCGGGATATACACATGTTTATCTAGAAGATTTAGATCTCCCAGGATCAATAAAACCTTATTAGGAGAGGCATTCCTTCTTGGGATACTCCCATTAGCAATAAGTGAGAAAACACTTTGCCTTCTATCAAAGGACTTGTGCCTGAGGGAATATATAATGTTATATTTGACAAAAGGCATCTCCTAGGGTGACGCCTTTAGATTGTCCTATTAGAGGAGATGATGAAAGATCTCCTGAAGGGAGGTATCTCCTTGCTTTGTATTCTTCCCCCGTCCCTGCTTGAGAAAATGTGGGATGAGACATTTTTGGGTAGAGAGAAAGTCAAGGTCATTAACTAACCCATGACTCCCTTGGAAATAGGGTTCAACTCCCACTATTGACTAAGTGGATGGTGGCCCTTTATGAGGAAACCCTATGTCCTATAGACCTCTATAAATACATCTCCTCTCAAGGAGATAGGCAGACCTTAAGTAATACTCATTCTCTTCACCCTAAAAAGCTCCACGTTCATTGCAATCTAAGTACATTATCATTGATGGTTACACGCTTTCTACTAACCATCACTGCACATCAGCATAGTCTCTCACGTCATGTGAGAGGGTATCATAAATCCCCTCAAAATACCACCGTATCGGGCTTCTCATCGCCATGGGAAAGCCCTCACTACCAAAACATTTTATAAACCTACTAAGGCCTCTAAGTATCCCTATCCTTATAATGGGACATGCACACTTGCACTTTTTGACTAGTACACACACATTTAATATTATCAATAGTGAATGGTATCTAATAACACATCACTGTTATCCATGTGACAAAAATGTCAAGTGATCTCACAAAATCTTTATGTGATAAAGTTTGTGCTTACAATTACCCTTTTACCCTCATTTTTATATTGAACACAACTCATATAGCATTCCACCCTTGTCCAATTCAATATTAGTCTCTTAGACACTTATCCTACTACATAGGATCTAGGTCGCTCACGTCTCTAAGCGTGATTTGTGGAGTACCCTTAAACCATATTTACGATCATTCTGTTATAGATAACATTTGAATGGAAATAAAATAATTGACTTCATATATAAGGTCTATAATGGTCTAAGGTCAAAGGGTGGTATACACCATTATCACCATGAGAATAACTTATGATACTTTCATAATATTCTATGTAGTATTTGTTGGAGCATAAGGTTGGAGATGAAAATAAAGATGGAAGAAGAGAGAAAACAATTGTAACAAATTTTTGGTGAGAGAAACTCTATTCACTGCATTGATGAAACCTAGTTACAAAATTGTTTAAATACACAAACTCAAAATGACACCTAAGCAAACTATGCCACGTAGACACTGCTGAAACAAGCTAACAAAATAAACCAGAACCCTAGAAGGTAAACACACTTCTGGGACGCAACCCCATAAACTTATGTTTTTTACTAACATTAATACTTCTAAATATGAATTACTTCTAAGAGTATTCTCATGACATGTCAATCTTATATAAATATTACTGAATATTTATATATATGTGAAGACTTGATAATTTTTTATCAATGATCCATGAAATGTAATCACCCCTTTATCCACATAATAGTCTTCGTGTTTTAATGCTAACCCAGCCTACAATAAAACTTAACTACAAATACTTTAAGAACATTATTTTTATGTTTAATGATATCTCATGATTACGTCATACTTAATGTTTCATTAAATAAACCAATAAACCAATTATTCTAAGGACTTTATTACTTTAAAAAAGCAAACATAATAAAAAAATATCTTATTATTTTTAATAGATAATAAAAGTACCATATTCTAATAAAATTATTGACATATAAAACTTACACCAACAAATAAGTTACATCAACATCAATCCGAGGACACTTGGCAATTGAGTTTGCGTTAGATTCAACAAGCAGAACAATATAGACATACATGATGAAGTTATATAAAAACTACCGCACATAGATGAATTTGTTGTAAAACTTGGAGCTGCAAACAAGAGTAACACTAAAAAGTTAAACCTAAAAATTTAAAGGATGAGATCAAGTATTACGAAAGACTAATGAGGCAAGGAAGGAAAACTAGTACGGAAAGATCATATCAAAACTAGCTTCATTCAATAATTCAACTAAACTCAAGAATATCGCAGCTTCCACATTTTTTACACCAATTTTAAAGAAATGAGTAATCACAAATTTAAATTTTCATTTCACCAATCAAATATTTTTGCCAATATTATCTAAATTGTGATTGGAAAACAAACATTTATTAACATTTTATTAAAACAAAAAGCTAAACCTTTAGTGAAATTCCATGCAAACCGCGTTGTTTTACTCATTCTTCGCATCACTTTCTATTCTTAGGAGTTGTGGTTTCATCTTTCAAAGAGATAAAATAAAATTTTGAAGTGTACTTTTTTTCTTTACTTAGCAAAAAGACAAAAATGTATGACTTGACTAACAAAATCAATATTCTTATTATTTTTATGTTCCCCAATTGACACTTCGCGTTCAACCAAACGGTTAGTATATATAAACCATTCTTGTCATGTAACTTTTTTCATCCTTTTCTTTGATCACACAACTCAGAAGTATATTTAGGGAGTGAAAATGATAAGCACCATCTTAGCTTGCTTTAAAATTAAAGCATCACATAAAAAGGTAAAAGTAGAGCAAACAAAAGTTGTATACAAATATGAGTTACCTAAAAAGAAACCTACATGCAAGACAGTGAAGAAAAAGGTTCGGTTTGTAGATTCAGAACCAACCATTTTGGGAGAAGAAAACAATGAAGAAGTTGAGAAGAGAAGATGTAATAGTAATGATGGTTTAGTAGAAAAAGAGGGAATTAGAGTGACTATTAGATTAACAAAGCAACAAGCAGTTGAGTTGTTATCAAAATGCAATGGAAGTGTTGTTGAATTGAAGGATGTTGCTCGTGAGTTACTTTCTGTTCAAGGGAAATGAGTTTGCATTTGTACAAACAGTTAATTTCTAGGTAGCTTCATTTTAGTATAATGATTTTTTTAAGGTTTGTACAATGATTAATTTGTTACAATTTGTTTACAATATACGTGAATAAAATAGCTAGTTCTAGTTCAACTAAATTTGATATCACATTCTAAATTATTAGGAACACATGGGAATTTTACATCAATCATAACTATCACATTAGCATTTGCTAGGCCTATGGAGGTTTATACTGTTTTGTTAAAAAAGCATTATTGTACTCATAAAAGTACAATGAGGGACACCTTTTGTTGTGTAGAAATGTCTTAAGGGTTACGTGTTTAGTGAGTGTGGTGAGAGCTCAGTCACATATGGTTGTGGAGAATTTTGTATTTGGTTTTTGCATGAGAGATTTGATGTCTCTCTCCTTTTTTGGGAATGCGGTATATATAGAAGGCTTCTTGTGTCTAGGCTAAAGAATAATTACCTTATCTCTCTTATTAGAAACGTGGAAAGGAGGAAATTCGTTCTCCCTTGAATTATGGAGGAGATGGTTTCCGCATTAACTCTCTCTCTCTAATCAGTCACCCCTAAGACACATCATCACCCACGTTTATTGAGCAAATAGGTTGTGGGAGTTAGTTCGAGCGGTCCAAGTCCAAATAGACGGTCTATCACCCAAATTCAGACGACCTATCACCATGTGTTAGGCGACTTCATGACTCATGTAAGGAAGCATATCACCACACGTTGGGCATCCGACTAGTGTTAAGGCAATGAGCTTGTGTCATGTACCCCTGGGCCTTCCTTCTTAAGATCCAGTAAAATTATTTCAATACCCAGTTGTGATCGGTGGATCTGGAACTGACTGTTTAACGCTGGTTCGCGAAATGTCGCGGAAGCAAGAGTCGCCACCGTCTTTTATTTTCTCCAAATGGAAAGGACAAAAGCACAGAAAAATTCCTTAAAGAGATTGCTCTCGGTTCGGGAGGTAGATTATAGAAAGGGAAGGTGTTAGCACCCTTTCTATCCATGGTTATCCATGGGCTCTTAGATACTTGCTCATTTGTGTTTTCAAAATGTTTTGTTTGCTTTTCAACTGTGGGTTTTAAAAAGTTTCTTTGAAAATTTCAGTTCGACTCTTGTATCGGTCCTCAAGAGTGTTTGAAAAATGCTTTCGAAAGCTTTTTGAAAATGTGTTGGTGTGAAAAGTATTTTTGATTTGTCTTTGAAATTTAGAGCAAGTATCTAGAGTCGTCTACCTACCCTAAGGAATTCGTCTGTGTAAATGTCCTTTAAAGTAGTGCCATCCCGCCATTGAGAGGTAGGTAGCACCACTGTTGGAGGTGTTCGGGTCAATTCGAGGTTCGGGACATGGTGATCACCAGAGCAATGGGAAGACACCTTAGAAGCTACCCTCATGCCAGGTTCCCGGATCATGAGGACTTACTAAGACATCCTCTACTCGACGATCACCTTTCGAGGCAAGGCAACAGTGAGGCGTACCCTAGGGGTGGTGTGTGCGATTCGTGTGTCGTTTTCATTTGCATTTATCTTGTCATGTTATTGGTGTTCTACGCTTGTTTTTATATTTTGTCCATACATTCTTTCATGCCATTTGTTAACAGTTAAAAAAAGTGCGAAAAAGGTAAAGTTTTAAGCTATTACAAAAGGCGCGGGTCCACATCGCCAAAAGTTTCTCGAACCCGATTTGACAGAAAAATAAAGAAAGTAAAAGAAAATTAAAAGTGCAAGAAATTAAAAGGTTACATGGCCTTGGGAGAGATACATAAATATTTAAACGAAATAAAATAAATATGCGAATAAATAAGAAATTGAGAACGAGGGCGTTGGACCCTTTTGCAAAAATTAAATTAATGATGGAGTTAATTAATTAAAAAAAGAAAGAATTTGTTTTTTTTGGTATTTTTTAGTATTTTAGGATTTAATAGAAAAAGGAATTAATTGAAATTAAATGCCAACCCTAATTCTATTTTATTTTTAATTTATTAAGAAAAATATTGAATTTTAACCTAAATTAACCCTAATGTTTATATACAAATTTAATTATAAAAATAAATATTTAACCATTTAATTATTTATGAAAGAAAAACAAAAAGATGAAAGATTATTAATTAAACCCTAATTCTATGTTTTTTATATTTTTATTAAAAGAATTAAAATTAAAACCTAATTTACACTAAATTTAATTATATACATTTATTTATGAAAATACTAAAAATAAAATATTTATTGTTTTTCCCTTTTCTGATTTTTATGTTTTTTTTATATGTTGTGAAAATAATTAATTAATTAAACAAATAATTAAAATAAAAATAAAAATAAGGTAAAAGAAAATATTCAAAATAGCAAACCTAGGGGGGTATCCGTCCCCAATGTGGAGGTATAGCTTGAGAAATCTGGCCCATTAACCTTGGCCTGTTTGGACTTTTGCTGGACACGTGCATGTGCGTTGACTGGGACTCACCGTGTATCCCAATTCTTGGCCTTTGATTGGATTCTGTTGGACGCGTGGGCATTGGATTGTGAGAGTGTATCATGGTCTTCAACGTTGGCGCTACATGTGAATGTTAATGGAAAAATAATATTGAAAGCATGGAGACCTGGGGCTCGAACCCAGGTCATGAGCGTTATCAACAAAGCCTTCTACCAACTGAACCAATTCACGCGCTTGTACAATTATTATCAAACAATTAATATGAAATAAAAACAAACATTGCTGATGCTTTGGCGCGAAAATTCAAAACGCCCCAATCATTGCTCCACACGTCATCATCTTCCCCACGCCTTCGTTCTTCCTGAAAACATAATAAACATAGGCAACGGTTTTTACACCGTTCCCTTAGGCCACATATCATAAAATAGCGACTAGCCCTAGGGACTTCATAAATCAGGCGCGAGGGTTGCCTTAAGATCGTCCAACCATGCTTATTTCAGTAGGCTAGGTCTTGAACGCCAATTTTTTCTTATGTGAAAAACCCCAATCTAAGGTCCTGTAAACCCTAAAATTCAATAATGGTGAAATCACATATAGCATGTAATAATCCAATCCAGGCATATGGTTAGTTTCAGAACAAGTTAATTAGTGTGAATGCATCAAGAAAACACAATGAAAATGCCTAAAATATGAAACACGATTATGCATTTTTCATGAAAAAGTTTGAATCCATGGTACCAATTCTGGGCGTTTTGATGAGTGTTTGTGACTGGAAAACGTTTAGTGAACCTTCAACAAGCTAATGAAACAACAATCGTGCCTTGAATCGCCCTGGGAATTGGTTTTCAGAATTGAGATTTTTTGAAAAAAATGCAAGTTGGTCTAGAGTTTTCTGCGCAGCTTCAATGGTCCTTGGCATTAGGTTTTCGTTCATGCTTATGTAATGAATCAATTAGGTCAAGAAAAACACAACAAATCAATTGCATTCATGGTTTTGAGATTTGATTTTCAATCATATTTTTTCCAATCTTTTTCATGCAATTTTGTACCAATCATGATCCAATCAATCCAAATCTTTCCATATTGAATTATGCACGAATTATTGAGTAGATTACATGTGCAAAAAGATTTGATACTTAGGTTAAATATTTTCCATGTATTTAATTTGATTTAAATGAATTAATATAAATAAAAATTCAAATAAATAAATAAAAAATGAAGAAATACTTCCCTTTGGGCCAAGTGGTCGTGCACATGCTTGGGATGAGGAATTGTGGAAGAAAAATAGGCCCATTAGCAATTTTAGGTCATTTGAACCAATGTTGACTTTTCAAAATATCCAAAAATTTCCCAACTTCTACAAGGCATAACTTGCTCAATTTTTAAGCTTTGCTCATGTTCTTGGACATTTTGGAAATTTCTTTGAGTCCTCTAACCAATGCCTTTGGTCCCATGTCATTTTGATTTTCCAATCTCAAGTTATGGCCTTTGACTTAAAGTCCCTTTTTGTTGACTTTTGAAAGTGACCTATAATGTTGAAATTGATAACTTTTTGTGAGTGCATTTCTTGGACTTGAAGTATGAAGATGAGTTGTAGGAAATGTCTTTCTCTTCAAAATGAGCTTTGGATGGGATTTTTCTGATAATCCATGTGAAAGTTATGCCCTGGTCAATTTACAGTTGACTTTTTCAACTGTCCAAATAAGGAAACTTTTGCATCTTGATGATTTTTGAGCCAAGCTTTGAGAATCATGATCAAGCATTGATCAAATGATGTTTGTGGCCTCAAAATGATATGTTGACCAAAAATTTGAACTTTTGACTGTCAAATGACCATTTTGCCCCTGCAGCTGACTGTAGTGCAATTAGGGTTTTTGACTGTGCAATCTTGTGCTGAAAGTCTTGAAACTTGATATGAGGATACTTGACCATATTTGTAGGCATGTGAGACTTGATTGGACCTTTGGAAACTTCATTTTCTTGATCAGAACACAAACCCTAATTTTGACTGCTTAAGAGGCTCTTGCACTGTGCAACCCTTGGGGAATTTTGAAGCTTGACTTGGCAAATCTTTGAAGAATATGGGAGGGCAAATTTTGGGGTACAACAGTTGCCCCTGTTCAATTTTCTTAGACCTGAGGATGCAGATTGGCTGACGTGCCTTTCGTAATCCGAGGGTAGAAGATGATTGAACACTAGAGTGCCCAGAAATTTGCGCTCACATAGTAGCAGTGATGGTGGGAATGGGCTTACAGATGCCATTTAGAGATTGATGAATAGGGTGATGGGCTTATAGATGCCATCTGGATGTTGATCGCGTAAGAGATTCCTTAGCGGGAACCAGCATACCTGCAAAAGAAAAATGAGTACCTGACATGTTGCAGGAGCTGGTTTTCAGACGCTTTGTATAAATGTGTCCTGACTGGTTACAGGAGTTGGATCTGGAGCTTCACAAGATGATGAATGAACCAGGGATGGTTACTACCTCAGTATGAATGGTAAGAGAACCTTGGGTGACTTTAACTTCAACAACGCTCGTTGAGAAAATCTTGGTAGGAAT